TTTTTTTTGATAACCCAGGTGTCCCAGCTTAGCCGGACTAAATCCTGGACCTCTAGCCCCCGGCCCCTCAGTGACTAGTGGAGGTAAATCGCAGGTTGTGCCCTTGTTGGTTCCCAGGTTCCCACATGGCTTTTACTCCTTTCCCAAAGGGACCCTTCTCCATGGTTATTACATCACCAAGCTGCTCCAACCCTTCCTCTGGTTATTACATCACTTGGCTGCTCCAATCAGGAATCGAACTCCCCACACTTGGTTCCAGAGCCCCCCAATGTGATTGTTCTGCCAACTTGGATGTGCCCTGGGGGGCAATCTTATCTATGTTTACAATATATATTGTAGAGTTAAGCAAAGCAACTCGTCTTGATTGGGCATCTTTATGGAATTGGAGTTCTTAATTGGCCTTTGACGAAGTCGTCCCTATTAATATAGACGAAGATTATGTCATGACATCAAATTGACGTGTCCACGGTGTCACATCAAAGTACTATGTATGTTGAGATTCAGAATTTTTTAAATGCCCCCTCCTAATATAAAAAAATAATAATAATAACAAAAGGAAAGAAAAATGGATTAGAATGCATATGTTTTGACAATCATAATGCAAGTAGTGCGCATGCAAATGCTAGTTACTTAAATAATTAATAAAGAACGCATCATATGGAACTAGCTAGCTTAATAATAAATTTATTTCACATTCATGCATGCGTGAAATTTAATTTATTAATTAATCAGTTGGACGATAAGAATCAAAGGCCCCTTGGCGATCGCTTATTCAATATTTTAATTTTTTTTCTGGACTTCTTTCCTCATTAAAATAAAAAATATGATCGTTATCTGTCACATCAAGCCACCAAATTTAAATTTTTATCTCTTATGTAAGACCCGTAACGATTATATTTTTCATTCTCATTCTTATGAAAATAAGAAATAAACGGGGCCTATATATGTATAATATATTTTCTCTCTGATTGAAAGTTCTCTCTCTCTCTCCAACTCTTTATCTGACTAGGATGACTTATTTTGGCTGCTTGTGCGATTCTTTAGGTTAGAAAGATTGAGACTTTAAATCTAATGACGACACGACCCAATCTTGTTCTTCACTTTCCACACAAAGTAGAATCCTTGCAATTACCAAATGGGTCTGTCCAAAGACATACTTATTCTTTGTTTCTTGCTTTTTGTCGTTTGTGGATCCTCTTGCTTTCTCACTCTTTGCTTCTTTTCTTCGAAGTTTGTACATATAAATTTCAATTTTCATACACAAGCTCTCTAAGTCTAAACCCCACATCCAGACGCCGTGGAAATTACCCGTTCTGAGTGGAGCCCTTTTTTTCCTTTTATTATTATTATTATTATTCATTTTTCATTATATACTTTTGATGGGGTGAAGCGACTTGACAATTTTATCCTTTACTAAAACGACTTGTGAAGCTCACATGATTGAATTAAACGATGAAATTGACAGAGGTTGTTTTCAAGGACTAACTCTCCTAATTGAATATAGGCTGCTGGGGACAAGATCGCAACCAAAAAAGGGTGGAAATAGGTTTGTATTTTTGAAATTAAGGGAAATTTGTGGAAGAGTTTTCAAACATTAATGTTATGCATAAATCCTGTAGAAGGGAGCAAGTATGCTTTATACATTAATGTTATGCTATAGTATGCAATCACAGAATTACATTATTTTCTTTTTTTTTCTACCAAAATTCTGCATAAATTCGAATTTTCTTTTGTTCATTAAAAAAGGAGTACAAAATTCATTTTTGGTTTGTTGATCTTGTGTTTTGGAATGCTACTAACAAAAGAAGATCGTCGTTGTATCTTAGAGGTTGATTGCCATCTTCCATAGACACCGTTGTAGAGTAAAATCGGCTCAAGAACAGAGTTCAACTCTTGCTTCAACTTTACATCCATTTCATCTGACATTATCTTTGTTGCATATTTTGCATCATCTTTGCAGAATATTTTTCTTTGTTTTCTTGCCGTTATTCTATTCGATTTCCGATAAGGTGGGTAAGTTTGATTTGGTTTTTAAGGTCATCAATCTATTATTTTCCCAACAGGCACGTCAAAAAGCTTCCAAGCACGACTAGTGAAGAGAAGCCGTAGGTGTCATGTTTATTTATAAGATCATTAATCCTCTATGAATGAAGTGTCTAGTATTATATTTATAGTTGACTAGTAACATGATTGTATGATCGAAACAAGCCTGTAGAGTACCAAATTTGAAAAGAATTAAGCTATTTGTAACTCTTGATTAACATTCCATGATGTGTAAAAATCTAGGCCATTGATTTTTTCAAATGTTGCTCAAATCAATGGCAATAACTAAGCAAAAGTGAGATGCATGATACTGGACAAGGAGCAGATCTCCCTACAGAATTTACCTGTTTATGGCATTAAAATTTCCATGTAGTTTAAAGATCTCGTCTCTAGGATATATTGAGAAAAAAAAAAAAGGGAAGGAAGAGAGAGAGAAAAATTTGACACTTTTAAACGCAAAAGCAACTGTGACCAAAACTATGCAAAGGCATGAAGACTTCTTACTTCAATTAAGACGACTCCAAGATTCTCATCTCTTCATAAGCCAACCTCTTATGAAGTCGTTGTTTATGCTGTTCAAAGTCCATGAACAAAGACATCAACTGCTTGGCTTTCCTGTATGCTTCAGTCCCCGAATGAACCACTGTTAGTTCCTTGTTGATGTCCGTATTCTTACAAGTATCCTACAAAAATAACAGTTTTAAAAATTAAATTCATAATTCACATGTGCAAAGAAAAGCATTTATAACTTATTCCTCTCATTTATTTCCCAGCAAACTCAAGAGCGAAGAGTATGAACAAAACAAACTAAGAGAAGTATGCAATTCTGTCAAGAGTTATTCATAGTTTTAAGATAAGCCAAACTTAAATCCCTCGAGAATACATATAAATGCACCTCATTGAAAAGACTGATTTTCATTCTTCCTCGGTCCTAATTAGGGGAGCTGAAAAGCTGTATAGCTTACAACCAACGAATTCATTCACAGGAAAATAATAAAAATATATAATTTCTACAAGTCATGCCCACAGGCTTCCAGCAGCAAACCCTAATTTATGAGATGACATTAACAGCATGTTGTTTTGAATCGATATGTTGCTCAAGAGAATCAAATTGAAGATAACTACTAGAGACACAATTATTGCAATATGTACGCACAGCAAGATTGTTGTACTCCCAAAAAAAAAAAAAGAAAAAAAAAGAGCAGAATGGCATCATCTACAGTAAGAATACTATAACAAGGACAATCACCAATGTTCCATCCAAATTCACATAACTTGATGCGACAGATCATCAAAGGACATTCCAAACTTGTAAATCATTTGACGGACTTGTCAGATGGATAGAAGGGAGAAAGGATTGTGATGTCAAAGTGCCTTTGAAATTTTGAAGAAAGCCATTTCATTAGAACTAGTGCTGAAGCAGCCTGAATTTAACAAACCCTTTGAAGTTCTGCTACAGATACTTCATCCTGTGCTAATGGTGCAGTGTCAGTGCAGGATTAGCACCCAATGGCGTTTCACAGCTGCAAGTAGATGTGTTTCAAACTGCAATTCAGTACATGATAATTAATTTACTGCACTTGTCCATTGACAGATGCTTGGAAACATTACTTGCTAAGCACAAAGTTCCTCATTGACATTTACCATCGTAGAATAATGTTGCCAACACTAGGATCAATTTTTCAGAAGAATCTGAGTCCGTTGCTGTCAAGAGTTCCTTGATATATTTATATATATATATAGCATTGACTGGGAAAAATGATGATGTAGCTGATCCTCAGTAGTAGAAATTTGTGACAAACAGATGCACTGACTTCATAACAATAACTAGAATTGTAAGAGAAGGGGAAGAAGGAGAGAGAAAAAGGAGAAGGCCAAGAGACAAGAAAAAGAGAGAAATTAGTCTTCGCATTCAATTCACTCAAAAGTTGTCCAATACAATGAAAAGGCTTCTATATTATCCCCCAGGATCTTAATCATCAAATAGTCTTCTAATAATATCCCAATGATCTCCATCAGTTTGTTTAACAGTAGGTGGCAGTTCTTACAGTTGAATTAGAATTCTTGGATAACGTTCATGGATAGTGTTGCCCTCCAAATCCCAGATTCAGAGGTCAACAGATAGGTTCCAAAACGTTGCTGTATATCAGCTATTCTTTCCAAAAGAGTTATTTTATGCTAGTCAGAAGAGTATTATTGCATCCTGTACCCAATTTGGACAGACCACAGCATTCTGTTTAATGGACTCTATTTCAGATCAGTTGATGAATGTTCTTAAATACTTCCAAAAGTATGGTGATCTTGTTGTCTGCCCTCATTTGTTGTAATGACCCAAAATTTTTCTTTGGATCATTAAAACGTACCGTAAAGGCAAAACTTTTATAAAAGATAACTATTCTTAGCCCCCGTTTGGCCCCCATTAAATTAAATTTCATATTTCTCTCTCCTATTTTTAATTACACAATCTTCTATAAAATAATATTACACGTAAATTGAAAACCATTCCTTCTTTTTCAACCACCCGTTCTTCAAAAAAATATTATTCCACCCATTTTAATTTGAAAAAATGAAGGCCAAACGGGGCTTTAAACTTACGATAATAATAATTAAGATCAAATACATAATTATAAACATTAAATTATTATTTGAAAATCATAATCATTTCTTCTTTATTATACCATTAAAGACCCATTTTAAACTTCAACGGCTCGAGCATCAATTATCTAAAACTTTAAAAGGGGGAAAATCATAAACAATGAGATAAATCTCAATAAGTGGGTCACATGAATCGCAATTCGTATTTAAAATTTAGGAACTCTTAACATACATAAGGAGATACGGGGATTAGAAACCGAACTTAGGTGGCCATAATCCCCATACATAATCATAACATACATAGGGAGACACGAGAATTAAGAACCGTACTTCGTAGCTATAAGTATTTAGCGTTACTGAACTCCGATCCTTTGAACTTACACATATAGAACCTATATCATATTTATAACTTAGAATTCCATATTTTAAAGTATGTAAAGCGATTTAATATACAATGTATGACTACACTTACCGTGTAAATTTGAAGAGGATTTGATAAAGCGCGTACGGAAGAACTTGACCTCAAATAGCAATTTATAAACTGTGTAGTGTGGGGCAATCGTAGTTACACACGCACACATAATTATGATAATCATATAATTTAAATTAATAAATCACAATTATATATAATTATACATATAGACACGCATACTTTTAGTTCTACTATATTTGAAAACAATCAACCATAATTATTTATAATTTTCCGTATATATATTGGAAAGTTAGATGAAATTAAGTATAGTTCCTTATAAGTGAAAGATAAATTAGGAAAATTACTTCCTAAATAAGTAAACCACCATGTATGTATACACACACACATATATATAAAGAACTTTGGGGTATTAAATTCTTGCTCCTTGAAGTCACTGCTGATGTTTTCTGAAGAATGTTATTAATTATTTTGTGTCATTAGAAAATATTATCGGTGAAGGCAGATGGTAATACTCGGTTTCAAAGGCAGGTTTCGAACTGCTTTGTTCATATGACAGGCGTAGAACTTGAAGTTCTGTACAGAACCCACCACCTCAAAATAGGAGGACAAACCTAGAGGGTAAATGCTTTGTTGGGGGATAACTTGGGCATTATCTTTCCGAAATCAGAAGAGTTGGATTACTTGCCGAGAGGCTTTCTGCGATCTATTGATTTGGCAGGACCAAAATGGAGTTGTTCGGAGCCAAAGACTGTTCTCATCCAAGGCTCAGTAAAGAATGAAAGAATATGCTGATGAAATGAAGGTGGAAATTTACTCCCAAACTTTGGAAGGTCGGTACATTAGTTCATCATGGTCTTTTTTTAGTACAACTACCTTGTGAAGTGATGAAGAAAGGTAAGAATGTTTCCAATCAGTTGACGCTTCCAGATCAGTTGACGAACTAACCCCCGTTTCATCTTATTGTCAACAAGTGTAATCAAGATCAGTTGGCTAATGAGAAAGCATGGAACACATTTACCTCCAAATATCAAAGAGGAATTGGATTGCATGGTTAAAAAATCCCTGACCCAAACCAGAACGGGTGGATTGAGGGGTAAAATTTTACCCATGAAATATTGGAATGAATAAGAAGACTCTATTTTACAAAGTGTGTCTTCAAATCAACCATTCAAGCAAATTCCAAATTATGCCCCAGTACCCATTAGTATAATCCTGTTATAACAGCATGTACTCGATACAACTGTTTCATATCAACAGTCATGCAGGAACAAATATCATACTTACCTCAATTATGTATAAACGGCTTTGGTCCCAATCATCATCAAATGATGTCACATGAGAGGCTGCATTTCTAATTTAACATGGATAGATGCTTCTCTAATTGTTTATAATGTGTCTTTTTATGTGTCAGCAAAAAAGATCCAACCTGAGAGTTGGGAACCAAACTGCCAAGCATTGCTTCAAGCCTTCCACTCCTAAAAGCATTTTTTGTGATGACCCATGGTCTGCACAGTATAAACAGAAACATGAACGCTTGGAACAGAAAAACCTGAAATTCCATAAAATTATATTATTTGCATGAGCTAAATGAGCATATCAGCATTTTAAGTACCAGATATTATAAGGAAACTTGTCAAACAAACGTGAGGATGACTAATAATTATGATAACCCAAATGCCAATCAAATGTAGGAAATATCCAAATCATTTCTCCATATTTTTTTCTCCACAATCGATGAATCCCGACAGAAATCAAAAGAAAGTAACTAATGCTTTCGGTTTTCTTCACAGACATTTGGGAAAGTATGAAAGGACAACTCAACCTTATTCTTTCACACAGTGTTCATTTAATCCAAAGATACTTCTTTATGTGATTTCACTAGAGTATGATTCTCAAGTACTCTGATGAAAGAAAGGTAAACATGACACCATTACTTCTTGTTATAGTGCTCCCTATAAAAGCACAGAATTTATTAATTTATACTTTATCTTCAGCATGCCCCCTCTCGTGCATGTTTGATTCATTTTTCCATCAAAAGCCTGAAACAGGTTATTTTCACAAATAGGTACTGATGAGATATCAGGAGCTTTGTCCGCTCTATATTCCATATTAAACCATCTCATTTAAAAGCTCAAAATGGCATAAATATTTTTATCTTCCATAAATCTTCTCAGGTAACTAATTGAGCTTACAGGTCACGTTTGTAGACCAAGATGTGGCCACAATGCTGCAAATTTGGAAATTGTAACGTCTGCCAGGGTAGTATAACCCCATCGGTTTTACAACAATGTTGGAATAAAACATAGCATAACAAGAATGAGACATGTCGAGAAAGTGATGATTGCTACATCCCACTTTTGTGCAAAAGCATAGTTGTAACATGTTTATGGGTGCCCACATGGGTTCACTATTTAAGGTAAGGTAGTCATTTTGGCAATTTGAAACTACAATACAGGTTAAAGTGGCAAATCATGTAAACGATACTGCTTATGGTGCGGCCAAAGGGTGGTGTCACTGTCCAATAGCACAAAACTCCAAACAATAATAATAAGAATAATATGGAATATATGACCTCTCTTTTCCATTGCACCCTGTGTTTTCTATTTCTACACATTCTCTCAGCAGAATACATAAACTCTCATGATATTGGATGGTTAGATAATTTATTGGTTCCCCATCAGGATATATTGCAGATTGGAAACATAAAATCCAAGAACGCCAAGGCCTAATTGTGCAGGCAGTCATCCACAGGTGCCAAGGAGACACGCAAGTTGGTGAACTTCTTCAACTTAGTTTTGTGTGAAATTTATATCACCTATTCTTTAAGTTGTTATATGCTTCCATACTAGACGCATATCATTGAGATCTATTCATTTATAAGATTAATACTGATGCCTGGATGAACCTACATCTAGCAAGTTGTAATGTTAAGTTGTTTACAAATTTCATCAATGACTTAAAATCTTCAAAGTTATAGACTTCATAGTCCTAAAAATATTTAGGCTACATAGAATCATAGTGTGTGAATGATGGGGCACACCTATGATGTTTGGAGTGTCATTTCGGATATGGATCGGATCTTTGGTTTTACACTTGGACATGGCAGCAAAAGGAGAATAGAAGGAGTTGGGAGGCAGAGAAGGAAAAAAAGGCAAGCAGTTGCAGAGGAAAAAAGACAGAGGAGCTGCGGAAAACAGGATTGATTTCTTCCCTAATTTAATGTTGGCTGTGGGCCCAATTTTTAATGGATTATATGGGCTTGTAAAAATAGAGTTAATAAAATTATAATTATTTTATTGGGATTAATTATATGATCCAACCCATTTAATTTAAATTTATTTTTGTATTAAATTTTTTATTTCTTATATTTTATTTGTGTAAACTTTTTATTTGGTAATTAAAATAATTCAATGTTATATCTTTTATCTATAATTATTTATTTTGACTTTAAATTTAAATTTATTTCAAATTATAATCCAATTGCTTACTTTAATATTATGATAAACAAATTAAACTGCGACTTTATTTTTTGAAAGCCAATATCATAAATTTGTGTACAAGTAAATGAAAATTTAAATTGATTTTATTCAAAATGGTTGTTCAATACTTATATTTGAGTTCCTTGATGTACTAAGTTTTTTATTTTTTATTTCTTTATGTTAACATTTTATATAATAATTAAAACATCACATATTCAATATTATTAACTATAAAACTAGAAATACTTATACTAGTATGCTATAATAAAATAATATATTTTTCTCATTATTTTTTATTAAAAAATATTTTGCAAGACGTATCACTGTACTCATCCAAATTCAGATCATTTTTAACAGTATCCCCATATCTTAATTTGTAAAATGAGAAGGATCCAACTTATAAATATGTACCCGTATCAGACACTCACACCCAAGTCATAAGGTGAATGGTGAAGTAGGAGAATTTCAATTTTGCTTCCGCACAATAAGGAGTCCAACAACACAATCTAAAACCATGTAAATTGAGTATACAAGTCCGTTAGTAAAAGAAATTTGTACGAAGGAGTCCTATATTGAAAGCAAACATGAAAATAGCACCAAAAAAATTCCAAGAAATACCTTCCCTTTGCCGACACGATCAATTGATCAGAATTGTTGAGTGAGTGATATATCTTCTCAATTTCCATTTTGCATTCCGACACAATTGCTCCCCTTGCATATAGTTCAGGTGATCGGCTTGGGAAAACATAGGCTTGTGATGAAACTGAAGTTTGCTTATATATGAATTCACTAATTGTCAATGCGGACAAATCTTTTTCCAAGTTATCAATCAATAGAAAATGTAGAATGCCAGTTTCTGCAAACTCGTTCATATGTTTAGAGTCCCTTCCCATGTCTTCATCATGAAGATGATCTGAATGAGCTTTGCTGATCCTCCCTGCCGTTTACAATGAAATAATTTTAGTAAATTAGATTTAAAGTACCATGGACAGGGAAGATAAGACAATCAGTTGTCTATCTCGCACCATAAGACTTGCCGGTAGTCCCCATAACCTAAAAACAAGGAGTGGAGTCAATATCCAGAATATTTTCTATCAAGCAAATGTCATGCATTTACCAATACTTGAAAGATCGTGCCAGAATAACTTGCCTGAAACCCAGGTTTGCGTTTGACATATAGACTATTTTTTTCACCGTGCAATGGCCCTATAGATACTGCAACATCATGCTTGGGTATTTCAGTATATTTGGCAAGCTTTTTTCCAGTTTTTTCCTTTGCCACTATGGAGAAATGCAAAATTCTGGGATCAACTTGAGTAGTCTGTTGAAGAAGGCATATGCTTGCAATGCCCGCCAAGGTCAGGATCCCCAAATTTGGACCGTGTTGCCATAACAAGACAAATGAGCAAAGACACTCCTCTTCACAACTTGCAAGTGAATGTTTCTCACGGTGCACCTATCAAATAAAAATGAGCAGACATTGTTAAGCCATGGAAGTCCATAAACCAAACTAAACACAGAAACGCATAAGTTCGATAATAATAATGCAGTTCATGCCAAAGACCTCTGCTTGAGGGTCTAAAGATCACTGCATCAGTGTAATTCTCGCAACAAATTTCAACCCATGTGACAAAACCCATTGGCTTTATCTTTAAAAAGTAAAACATAATCACACAGGTGAGTTCACCCCCCTCTATATTAATACCGAAACTCAAAAGTTATAAGAGCTTAGTGGGAAGACAGAAGCTCTTCATCATGGAGGAAAATGGAAAATAAATAGATAGTTAGATACGCCAATATGGAATATAACCTGTTATGTCTCATCCAACAAGACTCCAAGCATAGCTACCTGGCAACCAACAAGCAAACCTAATCAAAGCTGCACTCCAAGTCACTATCCTACCTGCGGCCATAAAATATATGTAGTCAAAGTGATGCACCACCACCTCCATGGCTGAAGCGAGGTACCACCATAAATTGCTGCATAGTATACCGAAGTGACTAGCCTCTCAACATGAGAAGGCATCTTCCTACTTCGTCTCTTCCAAAAGATCTTCCATACAAGATCTTTTGAATGATTGATGTGACATAGCTACAACACAAGCCTCTCATTCAACTTGTTAGTCTACTTTTAAATACAGACCTAGGATATAAGGTGACTACTTTCAAAATCATTAAATGCTCAAGTCTAAGACTGATGGAGTGGCACCTAGGAGAAGATGCATCAACTGTTAAGATGAGGCCACGTGTCTTTTCATCTAACGAAAACCAGTCCCACCTCTTCCACTATAAAAGCTCACATTTAGTGCTATTTGAAATTAATGCAATTTTACACCCTCAATAGTATTATTGCTAATTCCTGTTCTCTATATAGCTCCAGTGCTCGTACACTCTTGTTGCTCAAGTCTTCCATCCAAATATATATAAGCTAGTTAATTGACTTAACCGTCAGAGTTCTTGCGACTTCCTCCAACTTTGGAGAATGTCACGTCCTCCTAAGGTTTTTGATAGGCCTCCCGTGAAGTATACTTATACTAGAAGGGCCAAGAAACATGATGGACAGGCTGGCAACGGTTGGGGAAGCTGTTGAAGTCTGTTAGTAGGAAACTGAATTCTGTTAGATCACCTCTATAAATAAGTGTAGAAGCTAGAATAATAGCAGGAAATATATGGAGTCGAATTGGGTCTTCCGTAATTCCATTGCAATATAATCAATTTCCTTTAATTTTCTTCTTCAATCTGATCTAGTCACCAGCAATCTTATCATAGACCTTGCTACCTTAAGCCTGTCTACTTCATCATCCCAGAAAAAGTTGCCCTCATGTAATCTTTTAGTTAGTGGCCAGGCCATCTTACCGTAATCCTTAACAAGCTGACAGAGTACCTTGTAAGTCCCAAAAATCCCCCCTACTCTCGCAATGAATTCGGTCGTGGCCAAGAATCTTTGACTTGTCTACAGCCACTCCATGCCGTGAAATAAGATGCCCCAAATACTCCACTTTTGGCTGTCCAAAACTACATTTCTTCTTGTTGGCATACAATTTAGGTTGAGCTAGCACTTGTAAGACACTCCTCAAGTGGTCCACATGTTCCTCAACACTGTGACTGAATACTAAGATGTCATCAAAGAATACCAAAACGAAACGCCTCAGCTTATCCTTGAACATTTCACTCATAAGTGCCTAAAATGTAGCAGGAGCGTTAGTGAACCCAAACGGCATCACGAGGAATTCATAGTGGCCTTCATGTGTCCTAAATGCTGTCTCTGGAACATCATCCTGTTTAACTCGAATTTGGTGGTACCCTACCTTTAAGTCCAGTTTCGGAAAAATAGTTGCTCCATGAAACTCATCCAACAATTCATCAATAATAGGAATATAAAACTCATCCGGCATTGTCGCTTTGTTCACTGCCCTATAATGTACACAGAATCTCCACGTGCCATCTTTTTTTCTCGCCAATAGGACCGGGCTAGCTTGGTCCGATTATTCCTACTGCCAACATCTCTCGGACCAACTTCTCTATCTCATTTTTTTTAGCATGGCTGATAGGTGCTGTTCCTGGCTGGAGAGTGATAGCGTTGTCCCTGTCCCGTTGTAGCGGTATCCCCTTAGGTTTTTCAAAAAACCCCTCAATCTCCTCCAAAACCTGCTTAATCAATGTCAACATTTCCCACTGCATTTCTCCTAACTCAACCCCCGTAGGATAGTTGAGAATTTTAGAAGTTAAAACATTAGAAGATAATCAAATTGAAATAACCAGCAGAAGAAAACAATTGGAAAAAGAAGAAGCAGACAGAATGAGAGTCAGAGAAGAAGAAGAAGTAAGGGGAAGAAACTAGGGGAGGGAGAAAAACATTTGTAGCAAACCACAATTCAATTAATTTATCCATCAACTGACATTCAATCCCAGTTACAATAACATAAATAACAAAATAATAACTTGGGCTTGGGCCAAACCCATATACAAGCCCAATGAGACATAAACCCAAAATAAATAACTAAAAGATAAAATAGGGATGATGTCCACATCAACTCTCTCGGGGTGGGAGAAAAACTCGACCCCGTCGAGGAGGTAGGTCACAAAAGGCTGCTGTCAATCTCCTAGCCACAAACTGATCAGTTGAGCAAACTTCTTTCGACGTCTATAAACACACAAGGGTGGTGGTCCAGATAGAGGAAGATCTTGTTGACTCCGATAATGCTCCAACAAGTCAGGATCAAGCTGTTGAAGTGTCTCTTTAGGGATCCAAGTATAATTAGAATCAGAACGGCCCTCCCAACGAACAAGGAAGCGCTGAATGTCTCCATCCCTGATTAATATAGTCTGTGTATCTAGAATAACATTAATTTTATCTTTATGTGCTGTAGCAGGTGGAATTGGGGTAGGGATAACATGTTCAGGATGAGGGTCCAGAGATGGAGGTGTGAAAGTATCATCAGCAGGGTGAAATTGACCTTTGTAAGCAACTAAGTCTTCAACATCAAAGGTAGGATGATAGCCAAAATGTGATGGTAACTCAATGACATAAGCATTTGGACCAACACGCTTTAAAATTTTAAAAGGACCAGCACTACGAGCTTACAATTTGGAAGCAGACCCAGATGGATGCCGTTCCGGTCTAATTCGAATCATAACATAATCCCCAACATTAAATTCAATATGGCGTTTGTGCAAATCAGCTTGAAATTTATATAATGCATTACTCGCTCCTAGCTGTTTATTGATCTCAATATGCAAGTCACGCAGATGTTGTGCAAAAGACTCAGCTGACACAGACACACTAGCATGTGGAGACATAGGAATAAGGTCTAACGGCTTCCTAGACATAAAACCATGAACAACCTCAAAATGACTCATACCTATAGACCGATTCACTGAACTGTTATATGCAAGTTGGGCAGTAGGAAGAATTAAGTCCCAATTCTTAAGATTTTCCTGGACTAGACATCAAGTCCCAATTCTTAAGATTTTCCTGGACTAGACATCTTAATAGATTACCAAGACTGCGGTAAACAACCTCAATTTGATCGTCCGTTTGTGGGTGATATGCAGTAGAGAATTTCAGTTTAGTGCTAACCATACTTCATAGGGTTCGCCAAAAATGGCTAGTGAAACGAACATCCCTAGCCGAGACAATGGTCTTAGGGAGGCCATACAACTTGACGATCTCATGGACGTATAACTTAGCAACCTTAGATGCATCGGAAGTCTTGCTACAGGGAATAAAGTGTGCCATTTTCGAGAAGCGATCTACGACAACAAAAATTGAGTCGTGTTTCTTTGGAGAACGTGGCAACCCTAACACGAAATCCATACTAACGTCTTGCCAAGGACAACTAGGGACGGGGAGAGGAGTGTAGAGGCCTGTGTTCTGCCTTTTGTGCTTAGATCGTTGACAGGTGTTACATGTGCCGACAATCTTGGCCACGTCGATTTTTAAATTAGGCCAATAGAATTGACGTTCAATTTCCTCTATGGTCTTATCACGCCCAAAATGTCCAGCCAACCCACCATCATGACTTTCCCACACTATAAAGTCTTGCACTGAAGTCCTTAGGATGCACAACTTATTAGATCTAAAAAGATAGCCCTCCTCCAAACGGAAACCATCAGTGGTGTCCAACTCCCCATTTTGCAAAGCAAGAAAAATATCCCTAAAATCGGGACATGACTCGTACTCTTCCTTAAGTCTTTCAAACCCTAGAACCTTAACACTCATGACGGACAACAAGGAGATGCGACGGCTTAAAGCGTCAGCAGCTCGGTTTTCAACACCCTTCTTATGCTTTAAGACAAAAGAATAGGCTTGCAAATATTCGATCCAGCGACCATGCCGAGAATTCAATCGTCTCTGGGAATTAAGGAAATGAAGGGCCTCATGGTCAGAAAAGAGGACAAATTCATAGGGTAATAAGTAATAACGCCAATAGCGCAAGGCTTGTACAACTGTGTACAACTCCTTATCATAAGTCGAGTATCGTTGCTTGACATCATTTAATGTCTCACTAAAATAAGCAATAGGATGGCGTTCTTGACTCAAGACTTCACCTATTCTTGCCCCTGACGCCTCACATTTGACCTCAAAAACTTTGAAAAAATCTGGGAGTCGCATGACAGGAGCCTCTGTCATTCGCCTTTTGATTAACTGAAAGGCTTTAACCACTTCCTGCGTCCAATGAAATTCTTCTCTCTTCACACACACTGTGATAGGAGCCATGAACGTACTAAATCCCTTGATGAAATGACGATAAAAGGTAGCTAAACCATGAAAACTCCTAACATCATGTATATTCTTGGGATCTGGCCACTCAACAATTGCCCGAATCTTTGCAGGATCAGCAGATGCTCCCGTAGCGGAAACAACAAATCTGAGAAATACAATTATATCGTGAAGAAAGAACATTTCTTCACATTGGCATACAAGCTTGTTGCACGCAATGTAGAACAAACTTA